TGGAGGAGGCCGCGGTGGATGCCCACGCGCGCATGGCGCTCCACGGGCCCGTGGCCGAGGCCTCCGCCAGCGCCGCTCGCGACCTCGACGTCGGCGACGACTCGCGGGCAGGCGCGCTTCCGCCACAGAGGCGAGGGCGGCGTGGGTGCCCCGACCGCGCTGCGCTGGCGCTGGCGGCGACTGGACGGATGGTGCGGGCGTCGCCCCGCCTTCCTGGGAGGTCGGTGGTTCCGCTGCTGGCGCGCAGGGTGGCTCCCTGCTCTCGCCTCGGTCGAATGCGGGGCTCTCGTGGCGACGACGCCGGCGGGCGACAACGTCCGCATCGCGTCCATCATCCTGTGGGCTTGTTTCCACCGCCACCACCAAAAGTAGGAGGGGGAGGGTGTCCTCCTCCTTCTCCTCCTCCTCCTCCTCGTCTTCCTCCTCTTCTTCCTCCAACTCCTTGCCCCTCCAAAATATGGTGGTGGTGGTGGTGGGAAGGAACACAAAAGGGGAGAAGGGGTGAGGAGCATGAGGGTGGAGGGAGGGAGGAGCAGGAGGGGGGAGCGAATGCGGGCCCCGCGGGAGCTGCACCCTTGCAGGGCGCCTTTGGGTCGGCACCTCGCGGCCCTCCCGCGACCCCCGCCCGAGATCGGTGGGAGGGGGGCGGGGAGGTATGAAGGGAACATATGGAAGAGGCACGGAATAGGAGTGAAGGGAGCAGATGGAAGAGGCAAAGATGATAGGGAGAGGGGCGAGGGAGGAGCAGGGATGCGAAGGACGAGGAGGGGCAGGGAGGAGGACGCGAAGGACGAGGAGGGAGGGACGGGATCAGAGACGGGAGGGAGGGAGCTGGGAGGGGAGGGAGGAGGAAGGGGCAGGGAGGGAGGGAGGGCGAAGGGGCGTGACGGGGCAGAGAGCGGAGCGGAGTGGAGTGGAGTGGACCCCGCTGCGGACTGCAAGTGCGTCACAATGACCACGGAGAGGACGCCTATGGAACGGATCTCGACCGCCTCTCGCCTTGATCTCGGCGTGGCTGGGAGCTTGCGGCGGACCACCTGCCGCAATCCGATGAAGACATTCCTTGCGCGCCTTGGTAAACCCCGAGGGCCCAGGACAAGCGCCACCGAGGGAGCTCGGCTGCTTTTCGGCAGTGGCCCCACAAAGGCCGCAGCACCAAACCCCACAGGACACATGGTGGTTCATGGTGGGCCCAGCCCCCCAGTGCGTGCACCCTGCCTAGCCTAGACCCTTCCCTGGGAGAAATCCGAGCCCCACTTGAATTATCAGGTTGCGAGCGCTCCGTGCCCCACCAAGTTTCCCTGGAGGCTTTGGAGGCAGTCGAAACACTGCGTAAGCCCTTCTGCTTGCAGACAGGCAGCCGACGAGCAGAGAGGAAGGACGAGTCAGCAGCAACAACAACACAGACGTGAAGGGCAAAACGAGACGGGTAAGCCGTGCCGAGACTCGTGAGACGGTTGTCGTGCACAGATCCGTTCGCCCAGTGAAGGGCTGCAGGCGGTGGCTGGGGCGAACCAGGCACCGCAAGAGCGATGAAAGCTGGCCGCGCACTAGCGGTATCCACTTTGCTCCCAGGGATGCCTGGGACCTTGAGCCAAAATGGCTACGGTCAGGACAGGCATGTCCTCCAACAAGCGGATTCTGGACGGGAAAAACAAAAACTAAACAAATGCGCAACTATACCAAGACATCACAAAAGCATCGACCGCAGACTATGCTTTGCCTACTTTTGAATATTCCTTCTGTTGAATGACGTGCCCGACTTAAGACTACGGTCGGCAAGGAAGGGCTCGAAACGGCATGAACGTAAACTTTTGGCGCGCCGCGCGGATTTCTCGGATCCGCGCTGGGCCCCCCCCCCCTCCCCGGCGCGCGGAGCGCGCCAGCGGCGGCGCCGGAGGCGCCGCCGGGGGGAAGGCAGCGCAGATCCAAGACATCCGCGCGTAGCTCCGCAAGTATGTATATAGCGAATAATATTATTATTATTGTTATTCTCATTGGTTTTCATATTATTCCGACTATTGTTATTGTTGTTACTATTGTTCTTCTTTTTTCTGAGTATGATTATCATTATTATCATTGTCCTTCTCTTCTTCGAACGATGGCGACGGAGGTCAGGGAGGCGGAGTAGGAACGAGGCCGGAGGGGGGAGCATGCACGGAGGAGCTGCGCAGGGAGGCGCACGCGGCAGCGGAGCAGGGAGCGGCGCACGCGGCGGCGGCACAGGGCAGGCAGCGGAGCGGCGGAACCCGCGGCGGGCCCCCCGCCCGCGCTCCTGGAGGCCCCGGGTGTGCGCGGCCGTCGCCAGGGAGGCCATGTCGCGGCGGCGGCGAGGCCGGCAGCCTCTCGGCCCGGCCCTCCTTCTCTCGCTGAGCATCGCTGGACTCATGTTGCTCCCGTCGTGCCTGAGGACCAATCCCAGAAGTGACTTCGAGCGCCCAGAAGAGTGTCGACGCAGTGTGTGTCGAAGCAGCGTCGGACGAATGTCTCCCAGGGCCCGACACGTGAAAACCTTCAAGTTCCCGTACTTTCTCGGTGCTCGAAATTCTTTCTGGTGGTCACGGCTACAGTAGGGTGGAACATCATAATGCTTGACGGGTCCCTGCCCCGCCTGCACGCAAGGCGTGGCCCTATAGGACCCCAGGAACGGCAAGGCCGTTTTTCCCCCGCGTCCGAACAAAAAGTCTCTTGAGCATGAGAATGGCAACAAAAACGGTGACGGGGAAACGGCAACAAAAACGGCTCCGGGATTGGAACCGGAGCCAGAACCAGCAACAAAAAGGGCGACGTAACCAATGAAAAAGAAAGCGTCGGACTGGTAACAAAAACAGCAAAGCGGAACCGGTGAAAAAACAGCCCTGTCGTTTCCAGGGCCCACTAAGAGCGAGAGTGACTTTTGGTGCGCGGCTTTAGGGAGCGCGATGGGGGGCCTAACCCGAGCGCGCACGCCGCTGCTATCTATGTTCTATCTTGTTCAGCCATGTGGGAACCCCAGTGTGCCAACACCGAATGACACTCCAGCGAAGGGTCACTCTTACGTGTAGCCGACCCTGTCCCCGCTGGCGCGGCCCGGGCCCAACTGGCCGATGTACCCCCCCAGATGGGTATACGGGCCGTCCCCTTAGGGCTTAGAGGGGCCTAATCCCCAACGGGGGGGTAGGATGGTGAGACTAAGGCAGCATGGCTCAAACGTGGTGGGAATAGGTTAAACAAGACTGACTCCCAGCGGTCCCCTGAGAATCAATACAGGGGGAACATAGAATCCGCAATCCTTCGGTGGAACCTCATCGGAATCGACACTGACGGACGCTAGTCGATGCTAAGTCGGCGCTGATCGACGCTTCCCCATCGATGACCAGATCCCAGCGCACGCTAGTGCTCTCTACAGACAACATTCCGAGGACATGATGAGTTGCTACCGAACGAAGCATCGTCGAACGCAAATCTTCACGAACATGGCGGGTATATCGGGCCTATGTCGGCGATTGATGCGGGGGAGATAACTTGCATGGTGGTGGACCGTCACCATCTGGCACCTCAGGACTCGCACGCGATTGGGAGGCGATGCAATCCCCCTGAGCTTATCTCCGTCCATTACGTTGTCCCCGAGGCGCCCCCCCCCGCCGCCTCCGCCTCTGCCGATGCCCATACCTCCCGGGACTCGAAAATACAGAGGGGTGATCAAAGGCATGACTAGCAGTGACACGCGGCGGGGGGAACCCATGAACGTGTTCTGCCCCAACGCTGTCCCCAAGAGGCCCTCGCGAGCGCTCCGAAGAGACCCCGGAGACATCCCTGAGCACTCTGACTCACAACCCAGGTACGGTTACAGGATGGGCCGAAGAGCATTACAACCAACCCACATGGTAAGGGCGCGCGAAAAAAAAACAAGGGCCTTGGAAGGCCATCTCGAAGCTTTTCGAGCGGGGCGCGGCCAACGAAAGTGGCCAAGGATGAACAGAGGAGGCAAGGATGCAAAGGTGCCCTTGGGAAGATTGCCCATCCTTGCTGTGCGGAAAGACTGCAGATAGCAATGACACGCCGCGGTGCGGAACCAATCAGCGCTTTTTGCTGAAGGCCAGGTCATCAGGCACAAAACAGGCAGGAGTAGCACGCCGACGGGCTCCCACCAACTACGAATCAATGGTGCTGTCTAACGCTCCAGCATGGTCGATGACTTAGTGGGCCCTGGAAACGACAGGGCTGTTTTTTTACCGGTTCCGTTTTGCCGCTTTTTTGCTGGGTCCAACGCCGTTCTTTTACCGGTTCGTCGCCGTTTTTTGACCAGTTCCGGCTCTCGTTCCAATCCTGGAGCCGTTTGCAGTTTCCAGTCGCCGTTTTTTTGGCCGTTTCCATTTTCAAGGGACATTTTTCTGGAAACGGTGAAAAAACGGCCCTGCCGTTTCCGGGGCCCACAAAGGTCGGTGATGCTTGCTGATAAGATCCCTTCCAGTCGCTCCTCGGCACCGAGCTTCTCCGTGCCACACGCCAGGGGAGGTGCACACACTAAAGGGAGATTCCCCGCTCTCCTTCTCCGCCCCCCTTCCAGCTTCAGCTGCCCGCCACGAGCAGGCCAGCGGGGGCTGATGGGCAAGAGCGACAAGGCCGAAGACCTTGCCCTCCCTCCGCCTTTGGACAACTAGGCAAACAACCGCCAACCCTTAGTGGGCCCTGGAAACGGCAAGGCCGTTTTTTTACAGGTTCCGTTTTGCCGTTTTTTTGCCGGTTCCGACGCCGTTTTTGTTTCCGGTTCCGTCGCCATTGTTTGACCGGTTCCGGCTCCGGTTCCAATCCTGGAGCCGTTTTGTTGCCGTTTCCGGTCGCTGTTTTTTTTTTCCGCTTCCATTTTCAAAAGGCATTTTTCTGGAAACGGTGAAAAAATGGCCCTGCCGTTCCCGGGGCCCACAAAGCGGCAACCTGCTACGACCGCTGGAAGTCTGTCAAACCGCTGAACAGGTCCTCTTCGCCCTCCTCCTCCCCCGCCTCCTCGAGGAAAAGGAATGGTTCACCGATGCGCGCGCGCGCGAGCTGGTGAGAGGGGGCGAAAGAAAGCGGAACGAGGGAGAAGAGAGGACACAGGAGAGTGCCGAGGCACGACTGGGAGAATGGCTGCGACGCGGCCGTCCCGCCCACACTGGGTGGGGGGGATCGTCGCGTCTCGCCGCGACCCTTTGCGGAAAACGACGACGACGACGACGACGACGACGACGACGAGGCCGACGAGGCCAACCCGCCCAGCATCCTCACGGGGCGCGGGGCACCATGGCCGCTGCGGTGGGCGCGCCGCCCGAAGGGTCTCACATCCCAGGCGACGCCGCCGCCA